GTTATTTGGGCTGAATAATCTTCATGGTCCCTTCCAAGGTGACATTCTAAAGCCTTTCTATTTAGTCTAATGGCCAGCCCCACTGAATGAACTATCACTGCCATTTGTTCCTGTTTTATTCCTGAGATGGCCATGAAGATTTTAACGTAGTCCTTGCAACATGGGTCTGTACCTTCCCCTGAAATTATTCTTTCAAGTAAACCATCAGGACCTTCAAAGGGCCATTTAAAGTACTCATTAGGCCAGGCAGGGTGATGCATGCCTGTAATTGCAACACCTTGGGAGGCTGAGGCAGGAGGATCACTTGAGCTCAGGAGTTTGAGACCAGCCTGGGCAACATAGGGAGATCTTATCTCTACAAAAGAAAAAATAAAAAACATTAGCCAGGTGTGGTGGTGTGCATCTGTGGTCCCAGCTACTTGGGAGGCTGAGGCAGGAGGATCACTTGAGCCCAGGAGGTTGAGGCTGCAGTGATCCATGATCACACCACTACATTTCAGCCTGGGTGACAGTGCAAGACCCTGTCTCCAAAAAAAAAAAAAAAAAAAGGTTTAGGAGAGAGGGATTTACAGAAGTTCATACAAGAAATTGTGAGATCCTGAACCAAGTTCAAAACACTTCAGATCTTCACATTTCTTATTTGAAAGATTGATTACTTGGTTTATCCAATATGCTTTAAGGATATCCTATGCACATAGTCACCCTACTTTACCAGGGAGGAAAAAATGGCCCTGGCAAAGATCCCGTTAACTTTTCTGGACCAAATATCCTGTGACCCCTGTTATGAGAGTGAATGTGTCGTTCCTTCTCCCCAAACCATTGGAGTGGAGAGTTTGAAGGAGTGCCTTTGATGACACTGTTCCTCAGGGCATGGCCAGTGGTTTACCTCTAAGAAGCCTTATACTCGGCCAAACGTGGTGGCTCCTGCTTGTAATCCCAGCACTTTGGGAGGCCGAGGTGGGTGGATCACCTGAGGTCAGGAGTTCAAGACCAGCCTGGCCAACATGGTGAACCCCATCTCTTCTAAAAATACAAAAAGAAATTAGCCAGGTGTGGTGGTGTGCACCTATAATCCCAACTACTAGGGAGGCTGAGACAGGAAAATCACTTGAACCTGGAAGGTGGAGGTTACAGTGAGCCAAGGTTGTGCCATTGCACTCCAGCCTGGGTGACAGAGCAAGACTATGTCTCAAAAAAAAGCCTTATAATCAAAGTGGATTCCAAATTTGGAGTTTTGGTGGCAGTGGTGATGGCTGGTTAGATTTCAAAAGCTACTTTTGGAATTGAGTGTTACACAGTCAGACTTAAATAAAGAGCGCTAGTTTCAGCCTATATCAGAAATGTTTAAATGTACATTTTGTTTTTATGACCAAAACCAATTATAGTACCTAGTGGAGTTATTTTAAGATATTCATCTCCTGCCCTTTGAAGACTTTTCAGATATTTTAAATGAATAAGGTAGGAGGAATTTATACTGTTATTTTTGTGGGTTTTGCAAGGATATTTAATATTTTTATATGTATGCAAACTGCCAGAATAATTCTCAATGGATTGTGCTTAAATCGTTATTGTCATAATTGAGTCATCTATGTTTGTGGTTGACTTTGAGAGAGATTTTTGCCCCTTTCTTGTAGAACTATTGATGTTATTTTTAATTCAGAAGTGCTTGGATATGCACTTAAAATTTTTTGACAAATTTGTGCAAAACTAAAAACAGTTATAATGAAGTTGTTTTTCAGTCACATAGTGACTGCTCTCAGAGGCTAAAACTGTCTCTGAAGAATGTTCTTGTACTTATGCCAAGAGGCTTCTGGGATGGGCATATTTTTAAGAACTTAGAACATAAACAACTGTGATCTGTGGTAAGAGATTTAAATGACCTCATGATGACAGCAAGAACAAAGCATTTTTTAAGTTATCATGGTGGTGTGTGCATTTATTTCCATGTGTTTCTTATGCTACTATTTGGGTGTATTAAGTGAGAGCCAGGCAAAAAAATTACAGACGGTATTAAACTGAAGATACTGTTTCTTTATTGTTGTAAACAAAGTACCAGAAAAACATTATTTCCTAAGAATAAACATTTCATGAATTATTTTAGAGCTATAGGTCCTTTTCTTTTTTTGTTTTTAACCACATGAACCACTTGGGGATGAAGGCCATTATTTCGATCCTAAAGTTTTGATTCATTTTCTGTTGGAGAGAATAGATTCCAAACATGAAAGATCAAACAGTTGGCTTGAAATAAGAGTCCCTCCTTTAAGACAGATCAATTAAGTGTTTATTAAGTATTTACTATGTGTGTGGCACTATGCTAAATATTATGGAATACTAAAGAAGGTGACTTTAAGCTGCTTTTGGTCTAGTTAGAAGAAAGGACTGCTCAGATGAAACTTATAAATTAAGAAGACATTATGTAATCAAGCACCAAATAAGATACCATCACTTATGTGGTTCAAATATTGACATAGCCCCTTTTTTTAGAAATGATTTTTAATCATTGTCTAGAACAGTGATTCTTAACTAGAGGTAATTTTGTCCCCCAAGAGGATATTTGGCAATGTCTGGAGACATTTTTGATTGTTAACACCTGGGGCTACTAGGATCTAGTGGATAACCAGAGATATTGCTAAATAACTTCCAATGTACAGGATAGCCCGTCACAACAAAGAATTATCTGGTCCAAAATAATGCTGAAATTGAGAAAATTTCTGATGTAGAACCTACAAATGTCAATGCTGGTAGTCTTCAAAGTTATGGTAATGGACTTTCATCTTCCCCCAGGCTAGACCTGTTCAGCTCCTATAAATGTTCTTTACCTTAAGCTCTTGGATCATTACACAGAGATGATCTTTGGATATCATAAACCTCCTGAACTTTGCATGCAAGTTTTTCCAGTACAGTGCTAGAGAGAGAGTCCATAACTTTTATCAAAATCTCATGCTATCCATGCCTCCAAAAAAGGTTGAGACACATCAACCCAGTCCTCTAGTCACCTGAGAGACAACAACACAGAACCCTCCTTAGCATCATGGTGATTTAGAAGAAGAGCTTGGATCAAAATCAGAAAATAACTTTTTTGGTGAAAAAATTTCTGTATTTAGTATTTTGAAGTAATAAAATCTTAATGCATGAGGAAATTATAGTAGGATACTTTCAAAGATTATTAAACATATGTAATGATATATTACTGTACATTTAAAATTTGAGACTGAACTGATTGTGTGCTCACCTACAGGTAGAATACATAAATTATTTTGTTATTCGAAATCAACTTGTTTTATCAGAATTTGCTGCTTTCTCTCAAATGAAGATCCCAGTTTACTTTTCTTAGATGCTGTTTATCTGTTGAATCAGAGATCTAAACATGGTTTTATATTACACATTTCTCCTGAAAACTATTTACTAAAGTGAATTATGTTTTTCTCATAAGAAACATTTTTAAATTGAGAATTACGTTCGATTTTGCATCCTGTAAGTTAGAGATCCTAACAGCAGTATGTCATAAAAACAAATCTATGTTACCTTGGGTGTGTAGGTTAACATTAATACTTTTCTAAGCTATAGAAATTTGGAGATTAGTGTTGGGTTAAAAACCAAGGAAGGTCTTAGAGATCTATTTCAGCTGTTTGAAACTCTTTGAAGCTCAAGGCCCAGAAGCACTACTTTTAGTTGTTTTATATGTTTTTACTTCTACCAAATGTTTTGAGGGGAAAAAATCAGTGCACGTGGGAGGAAAGGGTTGCATACTTCTGATCTAAACCATTCATTTTGCAGATAAGGAACCAGAGGCCCAGAGTTTTAGATTTTATTATTGGGCTATATATTTCTTCATTCTGTAAGTCAAACTAGCATTTTAGATGTATCTGATAATAGTTGAGAGGATGACCAGGAATTCAAAATTTAGCTGTGCAGCTTCCTACCTCCATGTTCTTAGGCAAATTGCTACATATTTTCAGTCTCTATATACTCATCAGCAAAAGAGAATTATATTTAGTATAGTTGCTACTTTCTTAGAATTTAGAATGTGTCTGAGAAGATGATCCAGATTGATCACATCTCATTTTTTTTAATGAATTTTGTGTCATCTAAATATTTGAAGATCCACCCAAGTATGTCCTCTAAACACTACTACAAAATAAAAAACATCTTTATTATCAAAGGGGACAGCACAGTATTTACATTTCCTTTACTTTGGCAATAATGAGGGTCTTTGTAAACTGATAGATCAGCCTTAGGGCTTTTTCTCCCACCTTCTTACCCCCTCTCATTATTGCATAAGATACCTAGAACTGTGAATCGGGAACAGCAGATTATAGGAAGAAAGACTTTTTGAGATGAAATATAAGAGCAAGTAGCAGCATTGAAAGAACTAAACCATATGAAATAGAATGTGAACTTGGTGATCCTTTTGATCTTTTCTATGTGGCCTCACAAGAGTGCTTGAGAAAAGATTGAGAATCCTTTGCTCATGCGATAGTTCAACAGGGATTCCTTACTAAACAATTTTTGTTCAAAACCAGTAGTTTGCAGAGAACACAGGCTTTCACTTGGATGGCAGAAGCACGTGGGGTAATTAAAGACAAGAGAAGCCACTTGTCTTTTGCTACAAAAATTAATTAGCATCCTGAGAAGAATTAGTTCAGAAGTTTTCTTAGCATCTCAAAACAAAAAAGTTTAGAGAAATGAAGCCTGAGCCTAAATACAGTGTTTTTCTTTAGTGGCTTGACCATGTATCAAGTTGCTAGGTTTGTTTGGTGGTTTGTTTTGATTTTGTTTGGTTAGGTTTATTGTTGTTTGTTATTAGGAAATAACTTTTGTACAAGTTGGTCCTATGTCACTGTATGATATTGGGCTATTACAGATATTTACCGTTGCATGTTATCTTTGTTACTCTACTAAATATGCGTAAATTATATTTTTCTTTATAAATTATATGTCTAAGTGATTGCCAGACAATAAGACATTTTAAGCTAAACTATTTGGATTTTTTCCCTCAGGTCTTAAAGAAAGTGCAGAAGAGATGGTCAAGAACAAATTGGAAGGAAAAGATAAACTGACCCCTTGGGAACAATTTTTAGAGAAAAAGAAAGAGAAAAAAAGGCTGAAAAGGAAACAGAAGGTATCAGCGATAATTATGACCAAATGTTTGTTGAATACCAACCATGTATCAGATGGTACCAGGTGCTTGGGATCCATTATCTCAAAATGTAACCACTCACTGAAGTAGGCCTTGTCATCATCCCAATTTTAAGAAAGAGGAAAGTGAGAATGCAGTAAGTTAAGTATTTTCAGCATGGCCACCTAATGGCATGCAAAGCCTGGTCACAGTCCAGAGCCACTTCAACTGCTGCATTCTGACATTTTACATTTACATGCCACCTACATAAAACACATAGTTCAGTTAATATCTAGATACAAGCAGTATGATTCTGTTCGGTGTTTCTGAGCAAAAGAGGTACATACAGACTTTTTTTCCTTGAGGATATGTGCACATAGAGGTTTTTAACATGAGTGAAATTATGCCATACTTTCCATCTCTCAACCTGCATTTTCGCCTTGCAATATTATCTTATGGCTCATCCATCACCTTATTGTCATTAAATTCCTTTATCAAGAGTATTTCCTGGGCGGGTGCAGTGGCTCATGCTTGTAATCCCTACACTTTGGGAAGCCAAGTCAGGTGGATCACCTAAGGTCAGGAGTTCGAGACCAGCATGGCCAATATGGCAAAACCCCGTCTCTACTAAAAATACAAAAATTAGCTGGGCATGGTATCACGCATCTGTAATCCCAGCTACTTGGGAGGCTGAAGCAGGCGAATCACTTGAACCCCAGGAGGTGGAGGTTACAGTGAGCCAAGATTGTGCCACTGCTCCCCACCCTGGGCGACAGGGCAAGACTCTGTCTCAAAAAAAAAAAAAAAGAGTATTTCCTCTGTGTTAACATGGTGTCTGTGGACAATATGATTTGACTCACGTTGTTCAGGGAATAACATCTTTTCCAGAGTTTTCCAGAGTTCTCAGTAATAGCACAGATCACTTAGGTTTTTGCCACTAAAAATGCTCTTGTCACTGAAATGCAGCATTCTGGCGGTGGTGTGCCTTAGAGCATTATCACTGATAATGACAAAATTTTGCAACTTGGGGAATCTTAAAATTATTAATTCTAGTCCAACCCTGTTTTACAATTGAAAAAAAAATTAGCTGATTAATCTGAGGTTACGCAGCATACCAGTGGCCAAGCTGAGACCAGAATCCACAATTACTCAGACCAGTGTTCTTTCTTCTGTTCTCTACTATACTGTTTCTATACTGTGTCTTCTTATAATGTTTTCGGTACAGCTTTGACTTTTAGTGCTGTAAAAGTAGAGAGATGCAAAGCTGAGTGATGCAGTGGAGTAATTTTTATACTTCTATTGTAGTCAGTGTTTGTGGAAATGGATAGTAAAATGGAGAAATTGGGTGTTTTGGGAAAAATTCTTTCAGACTGTGTTTTTATTCTGCTCTCACATTACAGCTGTCAACACAGAAGAAGACTTCTGTGACCAAATGGGTAGGGAGATTTCTCCACACACTAATCAATGGACACCAAGTGGGTGTCCTCCAATTCCAACACTACCTGGAGATAGTTTCAGATCCCATAGGTTGGAGGCTCAGTCCCCAAGACTGTGTCCACCCTTTCAGCCACCAGTCCGACGTCTGAACATCCAGAATTTCTGACTGGCTTTAAGTTGGGGTTCCCATGACCCCCTCTTTAGGTTCAGTTAACTTGCTGGAGTGGCCACAGACCTCAGGGAAACACACCCATTTGCTGGTTTATCATAAAGGATATTACAAAGGATACAGAGGAAATAGGGTAAGGTATGGGGAAGGGGTGTGGAGCTTCCATGCCTCTGTGGGCACTCCACCCTCCAGGAACCTCCATGTGTCCGGCTACCCAGAAGCTCTGTGAACTCGTTTCTCTTGGTTTTTTATGGAAGCTTCGTGATGCCAGCATTCCTTTTCCACAGAGTACAGGGCAGGACTCTGTCTGGGGAAGGTCTTAAGACACACAGTCAGAAAGATGAGGGAAGAGTACAGTCCTGCCCTTAAGACCAAACACAAAGGACTATAGCAAGGACTAAGGAACTTACGAGCCAGAACCCATGTATGAAAACAATATACATGTAACACCACATGGGGTAAGAGCCCTGCTCCCATTGATGTGCTCACTAACTCTCTTCTTCCCTAGAACTCCTTTTCAAACTCAGTAGGCTGCAAAATATCTTTTAAATGAAATAACTCCACAAATGTTAAGCTATCTGTTTACTGGAAATGTCTCAAGTGGGCCCTTATGGGGTCAATAAAGTAGTCACTCTGAGAATTGTAGCAGCTATTCTGTTTGATTTTCATTGACAGGGAGCTTCGAGCTTATGCTTTTACTTTTTCCGTTCATTTGGGCTGAGTCTGGACTCGTTTGTCAGCAGCATTCAAAATATGTTGTTGAATGTCCAGGGTGTTCTATACCCTACAATACTCAGTACTGGACTTGACTCCAACAGATCCTTTCCGACTCCGCGGGTTCTTTGTATATAGAAGAGTTTCAAGAATTTTCTTCAAGTTAAAAATATTTTTGCCCCTTTGTTCCTCAGTGGTTTCAATTTTGATACTGAAAAATTATGACTGAAGAAATGAATACATGTTATATGCCATGTTATCTAGTATTTTGATCTAGCGGTTGTTTAGATCTATAAAGCAGTTAAAGAAATGTGTGAGTAGATACGTAGCAAATATTCTTCATTGAAAGTATGGTACCGCTGAATCCATATAATAGTTTGGTAAAAAAAAAAAAAAAAATTCTTAGAAGCACTTGTTCTGGCTGGGCGCGGTGGCTCATGCCTGTAAACCCGGCAGTTTGGGAGGCTAAGATGGGCTGATCACGAGGTCAGGAGATCGAGACCATCCTGGCTAACACAGTGAAACCCTGTCTCTACTAAAAATACAAAAAAATTAGCGGGGCATGGTGGCGGGTGCCTGTGGTCCCAGCTACTCAGGAGGCTGAGGCAGGAGAATTGCTTGAACCCGGGAGGCGGACGTTGCAGTGAGCCGAGATCGCACCATTGCACTCCAGCCTGGGCGACATGAGTGAAACTCTGTCTCAAAAAAAAATCCCGGCAGTTTGGGAGGCTAAGATGGGCTGATCACGAGGTCAGGAGATCGAGACCATCCTGGCTAACACAGTGAAACCCTGTCTCTACTAAAAATACATAGCCAGGCGAGGTGGCGGGTGCCTGTGGTCCCAGCTACTCAGGAGGCTGAGGCAGGAGAATGGCGTGAACCCAGGAAGTGGAGCTTGCAGTGAGCCGAGATTGTGCCACTGCACTCCAGCCTGGGCAACAGAGCAAGACTCCATCTCAAAAAAAAAAAAAAGAAGCACTTGTTCTTGGCTGGGCGTGGTGGCTCACACCTGTAATCCCGGCACTTTGGGAGACTGAGGCAGGTGGATCACCTAAGGTCAGGAGTTCAAGACCAGCCTGCCCAACATGGTGAAACCCGTCTCTACTAAAAATACAAAAAATTAGCCGGGTGTGGTGGCAGACGCCTGTAATCCCAGCTACATGGGAGGCTGAGGCAGGAGAATCACTTGAACCTGGGAGTCAGAGGTTGCAGTGATCTGAGATCACGCCACTACACTCCAGCCTGGGCGACATGAGTGAAACTCTGTCTCAAAAAAAAAAAAAAACCAGAAGCACTTGTTCTTAAAAGGACATTAATGTCAAAATAAATACTCTTTAGGGATTGAGTGGTTCTTTTTGCATGGAGGATGTTTAGCAATAATGGCATTCTAAATATTTTTGTTTAAATGGCTAGAGATGTTTTAGATTCCTAGAGATAAATTCAGTCTGGTTAGCCTGATCTTAGTTCACATATGTTCTATTTATTTTATAGATTTGATTGCTGTATTTAAATTTGCTAATTTAGTAAAGAGTCTATTCAAATTAGATTAGGAAAAATTTAACCAGCAAACTTACTTAAAAATAGCCTGACAGTTTTTTAGGGGTAGCTTATAGATAAAACAAGATAATTGTTAAAGTTGGGAGATGAGAACAGAGGGTTCATTACATTGTCCTAAACAACTTTTATGTCTGTTTTAAATTTTCATAATAAAAATTATTTTCTTTAATTAACCAACAAATAAATTGTCGTAACTAGTAATTTAAGAGATAATTCACAATGCACTATTTCGAGTTATTCAGTGACTGTCATTTTTCAGTTTTATGAGAGAAAAGGCCACCTCTCATCACTGATCACCCATCTAATAGTATTCTTCTTCAGATCTTCTCCTTCAAATGTCTGCATCACTTTCTCTCTCCTAACCCTTCCTATCTTGATTTATTTTTATTTATGTATTTGTCTATTTATGTCTTTATGTGTCTGATTTCCTTTAATAGATGGTAAAATTTTTGAGGGCAGAAACCATGTATCTGATAACTTCCATTTCTCCCAAAAGGCTTACATGGTTTCCTGCATTTATTGAGTATTCTATATTTTTTTGTTTGTTTGTTCGTTTGTTTTGAGACGGAGTCTCGCCCTGTTGCGAGGCTGGAGCATGGTTGCACCATCTTGGGTCACTGCAACCTCTGCCTCCTGGGTTCAAGCGATTCTCCTGCCTCGCCTGCCAAGTAGCTGGGATTAGAGGTGCCCGCCACCATGCCTGGCTAACTTTTGTATTTTCAGTAGAGACAGGGTTCTGCCTTGTTGTCCAGGCTGGTCTCGAACTCCTGACCTCAAGTGATCTGCTCACCTCAGCTTCTCAAAGTGCTGGGATTACAGATGTGAGCCACTGCGTCCAGCCTCTGTAATTATTTGTTGAACAAACAGAATAATTTAGGTGGGAGTTGTTTATAAACTGGTCCATTTAAAAACTGGTTTACTTTATTATTATTATTTTTTTTTTTTTTTTTTTTTTTTGAGACGGAGTCTGGCTCTGTTGCTTAGGCTAGAGTGCAGTGGCACGATCTTGACTCACCACAACCTCCGCCTCCTGGGTTCAAGTGATTCTCCTGCCTCAGCCTCCCCAGTAGCTGGGACTACAAGTATGCACCACCATGCCTGGCTAATTTTTTTGTAGTTTTAGTAGAGATGGGGTTTCACTGTGTTGGCCAGGCTGGTCTCGAACTCCTTACCTCATGTTCCACCCGCTTTGGCCTCCCGAAGTGCTGAGATTACAGGCATGAGCCACCACGCTTGGCCACTGGTTTACTTTTAGATTGAACTACTTGGTTTAAAAAGAAATGCATAGTTTTTCTTGGTATACATTTATTACAATTATAATAATGAAATTTTGTATTTTTATATTCAACTTTAAGGCTCTTGCTGAAGAGGCCAGTGAGGAGGAACTTCCCTCTGATGTTGATTTGAATGACCCATACTTTGCTGAAGAAGTTAAAAAAATAGGTAAGCCAGCTCATATCTGTAGTTTTCAATTAGAATCTAAAGAAAAAGATGAGGTGCATGGAAGCAATGTAAACTAATCATTCTTTTAAAATTGCTGGTATTTGTGCAATTTAGTGACTTATAAGCAAGTCTGTCCTGTGGCATACAGTCATTGATCTGATTGGGAAGGGCCAGCTCGTCCCTTCTACATACAAGGAGTAATTTTAATATAGGAGGCTTTTGATAATGTGGGTAATAATTTACTAGGGATTCCTTTCCGGGAAATAGCCTTATTGCCAGTCAGATCAACTCTATAAAAGAATGAGAGGAAATAGAAAGAGGAATAATTATTTTCTTGTGTGCTTTCTCTGATTTTTAATAGCATATCCATTCTGGGTCCCTCTCAGCAAAGTCTATCAAGAATTAAAAGTATGAAACGAATTTGTTTATATGTGCATGTTGATATGTGTATAATTTTTAAATTTATGCATATATTTAAATTTCATATAAAAGCTTTTTCTGCTGAAATATACAAAAGCATCTATGTTTCATTTTATCCCTTTTGTACTCATTATGCTTAATTATAGTTAAAAAGCCAGCTTTCCTTACTCTTTTTCCTTGAATCCCTAAATTATCTGGTATCTGATTTCCTATATCCAGGGAGCCTTGTTTGCACCTCATATGCACTACTCATTCTTTCTTTCCTCCATTATGTGGAGGAAATGTGTGTGTGTAAATGTGTTTGGTAAGGTTCAGGTCATACTTGGTAAGTCAGTACAGAAATCACTGTAAGCACTTACCATTTGTTTTCATGCATTTTGCCTTCCCCTGATCATTATACCACACACAAGAACCCCAAAAGGCTTGCTCCTGGAGCAACTCCAAGCTGGCATTGTAAAGAGAAGGATTTTATGAAATTTCCCTGTTTCTTTTACCCTTGTGACTAGTGGGCCAGAATAGTTCTCCACAGGAAAGTCAGAATTGCTCAAAATTATTTCCTGATTGTTACAGCTTTTTAGTACTGACATTTTATTGATGAGAAGGAGATTAAGATAAATAAAGTCTATTATAGAATATGAGATTCTTGGGAATTGGACAGAGAAGTGGAAACTTAGCATATTCTGCTTTTTATCATACCTGAGTGGTCATTTCTAGAAGATGATGGATTTTAGCCTTATCCTCTGGTTTCAGGAAACCAGCTTTATAATGGAGAAATGCTAAGCATTATAGTTTCCTTGTTCTGTATCCAAAATGTTTCTTTTGGCATGTGAAGTCTGGTCAAATTGCAGAACTCAGAATAGAATTCAAAGAGTAAGTTAAATGATTTGATGGCTTGGGGTAGCCAGTTTCTTGGAATCAACTCATTTACATTGAGAGTAAACTTTCTCTAAAGTTATTATCAGAAGTTCCAAAGAAAAAAGGTATAGATAAAATTTGCTTGCTTTTAATTTACTTTTGATTTCAGAATGTTCCCAGAGGGTAATTGTTTCTATTTGGGCTTTTCTGTTTTTTTGTGTGTGTTTTGTAGTAGGTTTTGTTTTGTTTGGAAAAAGAAAAACAGCAAGGCCAGAATTTTTTACATAAAATTTAGGACAAAAAGCTAGTGTCTTGCCATGTTTGTTTATTCATTCTATAATAACTGTTTTGATTGCCTACCAAGTGCCAGTCTCTCTGCTAGGCTAGAGATACAGTAGTAATAATACAAACAGGATTGCATCCCTCATGGAGTCTGGTTTGAAGGAAGATGTGTTAGACAGATAAATAGTATGAGGGTATGGTAAATGTTTTAAAGGAAAGAAATAGAAGATATAACTGGGTAGAAGTAGGAGATATGAAAGTTTACATTGGGTAGGCAAAGAAGGCTTCTCTGAGATGATGACATTAGAGCTGAGACCTGTGGAATGAGGAGTCAGGCATGAAGAGCTGGGAGAAGAGCATTGCAAATGAGGGGAGAGTGGTTAGAAAGACTCCAAGGTGAGAAACAGTGCACTGTGTGGTGTTAAGAATTGAAAGACATCAGTGTGGCTGAAGCGTTGTCGGAGAGGGAATTGGTGTGAGGACAGGCTGGAGACTCAGTGGAAACTACCCCTGTAGGGCTTTGTTGTCCTGACAACAAATTGAGATTTTACTTTACTGATAGTGGAAAGCCCGAACAGTCTTTAAGCAAAGATGAGACATGATCTGGTATAGATTAACATATTACTCTGGTGCCTGTAAAGAGAACAGTTTGAGGACTGGTGAGAGCTGGAAGTCCAGACTTTTGCCGAGCTCTAGACAAAAGATGATGGTTGTTTAGCTGGCATGCCGCTCGTGGAATTGGACGGAGAACAGAACTCTAGATATATTTTGAAAGTATACGTGCTAAATCAGGAAGAAATTTAGCATAACTCCTGTTTTTGGTTTGAGTCTGTGGAAGAATGTTCTTCCATTTACTGAGTTAGGAAGAAATGTGGGAACAATAAGTTCTAAGTGGGAAGAAAAGTAAATAGGTCCATTTGTGGCATAATCACTTTGAGATGTCAATTAGATATACAAATGGAGGTGTTTGGTTGATATTGAGATATAAGTCTGAGAGATGAGCAGAGAAATCAGAGTACAAATATACACTTAAGGATCAGGAGCATATAAATAGTACTTCAAACCATGGCAGTGGGAGTAGAGAGCAGTGATAAGAGAAGAGGATGCAGGATGGGCCCTGAGGTCAGGTGAAGTCTGCATGAGGCACTGTTAATCTGACATACTAGAAGAAGTGCTACTTGAAAGGATGGGAAAAGCTTAAGAAGCCGAGAAGGAGCGGTTGGGAAGCAGGAAGAACAGTATTAATGTAGTGGCTCACAGACACTTGGTGAGGCGATAGAGGTTTCAGTAGATTAGTGTGGGTTAAAGTTTGAGGTGAAAGGTGAGCATTCTTTTTTCAGAAGTTGCACTGTGAAGGGGAGCAAAGACATGGAGCCATACCTGAATGTACGTAAGGAGAAAGTATTTTTTTAAAGATATGAACTTTTAGGGCATGTTTTCTTTCCCTTGGGATTGCTCCAACAGAAAAGAAGTTACTAAGATACAGAAAATGGGGCAAATAAAAGTAAATACAAATGCAGGTAAATTTGTATATTTGGTGTCAGGAAGATGAGGGATTTACCTGATTGGTTTATGGATTTATACTGTTTGTTCATTCACTTGCAGAAGCACAGATAATCCGCATGAGCAGATAAGGTAGGGACCTAGAAACAGATCGCTGGAGGGGCAGGGTGCGGGAGGTTACTGCCTAAGGCAGTTGATTAAATGAATTGTCAAATTTAAGGAGACTTTTCGGTCTGGATAGCCGAAAATGGAGAGAGATGGGGCGTATAAATCTGAAGGCCAGGCCAGATACAAAACCATAGAACATGCGGCAAGAGCAGCGGTATGGGAGGCCTAGGCAGAGAAAGAGAGAACTAGCTGAGCCACAAAAGCAGCATATCCCTTTTGAATCATGCTGGACATGGCTTTTCAAAGGCACATTACAAAGCTGTGTGCCCCCATTCGTGTATGTGGTTATTCAGTCAACAATTATTGAGTGTCAGAATCACCCGGTCCTCCCATATGACTTTCAGCATGTTACAAAATATTTAAATAAATGAGATTGATACAGTTTTCCCATACTTTACATTTTAATCTGACTACCTGTGGTACAACTGGACTTTTTAAATATGTGTTAGATATATATCATGTATATGCTCGAATAGATGGATTTAATGAGTTTTTACTCAATTCTGAACCTTTTCCTCCCCAGCAAAAACTAAATTTTTGCTTAACAGTATCCAGAAGATATAAAGAAGAATATACTGAATGTTAACATTTTGTACTCACGATCCAGGCAGATGGTTTTAAGGATAGGTGGAAGCATGCTTATAACCTTAGGGAAATGGATTCCCACAGGGAGTCAGAGAGAAATTGGAAGTTTTTTGTGTGCCCTTCAGATATAAGGATCTATAGTAGGTACTTTTAAAGAGAGTTGGACTTTGGTTTAAAATTTACCAGTTTGTAATTTTTATTTATTTTATTTTTTAAATTTTTATTTATTTATTTATTTATTTATTTATTTATTTATTTATTTATTTATTTGAGACAGAGTCTCACTGTGTTGCCCAGGCTAGAGTGCGGTGGCGTGATCTCTGCTCACCAAAACCTCTGCCTCCTGGGTTCAAGCGATTCTTCTGCCTCAGCCTCCCGAGTAGCTGGGACTACAGGCGTGTGTCACTGTGCTTGGCTAATTTCTGTATTTTTAGTGGAGACAGGGTTTCACCATGTTAGCCAAGCTGGTCTTGAACTTCTGACCTCAGGTGATCCGCACGCCTCGACCTCCCAAAAGTGCTGAGATTACAGGCATGAGCCACCGTGCCCAACCAGTTTGTAATTTTTTAAATGTAGAAATAAAGTAACTCAGATGACCTACATTGGTATATTAATTCATTGCTACAGTATTTACTTCATTATTAGTTTGTCAAAATAGTTTTGGATTTTAGTACCTCGGAAGTGAAATATAGTCATTATCTAAGGATATAGACCTTGCTTTTCTTTTCAAAAATACTTAAGATATAATGAATTTCACACACTAGTGTTTGAGTATATAGTTCAAGTTCTGTAGTTAAACAGGACAAAAACATTGTAAACCAGATGACTTGGGTACATTTATAGCATTTTTGCTCTAGGCAATCCCATAGAGCTAAACTTATGTGCCTTCAAAATTTGGAGGAAATGAGTTCACTGATGCCAGACCCGGTGTTTGGCTCAGATTAGGTGCCAGGGTGAATGTTAGAGATCTTTTATAATTTTTTCTTCTATCTTTTATAATTTTTTCTTTGATTTCCTTCTAAATTGCAAACTTGGTGTCAAATAAGAGTTTTTAAATATACATCTAGGATGAGTACATTAATGAGATGAAAATGAAATGAAATATTAGAAAAATCTGCTAGTTTTCCAGTGGTAGTTGGTAGAATCTGAGTCCTAGTGGACTTCCTTTATTTTTTGTAATTCTACAAGTAACATTGTAAAGCAGTGTCAGAATATATATGCATACAAAATATTATTAACCCTAGAGGGAGATTGTCCTTAACAGACTGCATCTGATTATGGGCAGGTGATGCAGAAACTTGCTACAAAAGAGTAAATCACTAGGGTGCTTACCACTCTTCATCTGGTCGGTACTGAGACCACATCCATCTGCCCTCCAGTGAACTTTCTTAGCTTCTCTCTCACATGAATTGCTCAACTAAATCCTCTGGAAGAAGTTTATTATGGGAACAATTCTCTGACATTATAAGTAACGGGAAATGAAATGTCCTTTACAGATGAATTTTTTTTTTACACGCTATCTTTTTCCATGGATGTATTCTGTTACATTTTTTGCCTAAAAGGATTCTAGCCTCAGTAAGGATTGGTTAGATTTATTTAACTGTAAAACTGTATTCTCTGACTTGGAGTCTTTGTTAGTATTGACTTAATAGAATCAATCCATATGTATTTTTTGCAGCAGTCTCAGAAGATGTAGTTTTTTTGTTGTTTCTGTTTTTGTTTTTTTGACAACGTTTTGCTCTGTCACCCAGGGTGGAGTGCACAGTGGTACTATTATGGCTCACTGCAGCCTCGAACTCTCCTGGATTCAAGTGATCCTCTTGCCTCAGCCTCCCAAGTAGCTGGGACTACAGGCACACACCACCATGCCTGGCTACTACAGGCACACACCACCATGCCTGGCTAATTTAAAAAAGAAAAAAAAATTATGGAGCCCGAGTCTTGCTTTGCTACCCAGGCTGGTCTCAAACTCCTGGCTTCAAGCAATCTTCCTTGCTTCAGCCTTCCAAAGTGCTGGGATTATAGGTGTGAGCCACCATACCCAGCTAGAGATGTGGTTCTTTACTTGACAAAAGATTCACTGAAAAATAAAGATAATATTTTGGAACGCAAACTTTCATTTCCCTAGTACTGTTCATCTAACTTAAGTCTGAAAATTTTCCAGGGAGGAAAAAAATGTTTTTTCAAAAAATAAAGATGTGACCTCTTAATATTTGATCTTATTAACAGTGCAGAAATGATCTGTATGCCTTATGTATCTTTTGACTAAACAATTCAGTCTAACATCTTAGTAAATTCTTTGTTAGCAAAGAAATTTTCATCATGCTAAAACTGGATATCATGTTTAGCCCTATCTTGGGGATTTTTTTTTTCTCCCTTATTACAGTCCTCCTTTGAAGTTTATTTTTAAGACTCTTCACCAGGTTGTTATAAAATCTGAAATAGTTTATTGTGGGCTCTTTGAAATTATTTTCCACAGCTGTATGTGAAGATCTTTGTCTGCTTTAAGTATTAATTATATACAGTCTAATTTTCTCCCTGCTACAGAATAATATTTTGCATATGTCATTTGTCCATTCATTTCAAAAGGAGCTCTTGGCTTGAGAGCATAGGAGCAGTGGTAAACTTAGGGAATGGGGGTTCATATCCTAAGCAAGTGGAACCTTGATGATATTTATATGCGTAAGGACATACACATACATTAAGACAGAGAAAGATTATACTCTTAAGGTTAATATATTATTCCCTGAAAAAAATTTCAGATAGGACCAGTGATGAGGAACATTTTCTCTAGGGAGAAGGGCTGCATACAATAAATATTTCTTCTTAGAAGTGCAAAACAAATGGCTTGGTAGCACCGATAGGTGAGCCTGGCAGCACTTCTATGCTGACATGTTCTCTTGGCTGGGCATGTCTACTGGACAGGTGTGCAAGAGTATTAGCAGGGACTTAATACACACAGAGGAGTTTCTAAAGCCTCTTTTGACTTTAGGTTTTGCTTATCCTGTTATCCCATTAGCTGCAATTCTTCAACCATCTTGACCATTCCCTTCTCCTGCCACACCCTTCTTCAGGTGTTCTCACATATCACCTCCTCACTTCATCCAGGTCATTATTTGTGTGTCACCTTCTTGAAGAGGCCTTCCTTAACTACCCTAACAAAACCAGCTCCCCATTCAGTCTCAAACCCTTTTGTCCTGCTTTGCCTCTGTCTTTCCCAACTTGAAGGTATACTGCATGAGAGATTTTAACCTATTGTTCACGGCTTGTATCACCAGCACCTGGAGCTGTGCTCGCAACATGATAAGTGCTCAGTTAACAATTGTGAGATAGGTGAAATAATTTCCTTCTGTTTATTAACCATTTGTTTTTGTCTGTGAATTCTCTTTGCTCTGTGTTAATATTTTCATTTACGTGAAATCTCTGTAAGTGAAAGATAGGATATCTTTCAATAGATATAATAGAAGCAACCATTTCTTTTTTTTTTTTATTTGAGACAGAGTCTCGCTCTGTTGCCCAGGCTGGAGTCGGGTAGCACGATCTCTGCTGACTGCAACCTCCGCCGCCCAGATTCAAGCAATTCTCCTGCCTCAGCCTTCTTAGTAGCTGAGACTGTAGGCGCTGGCCACCACGCCCGGCTAATTTTTTTGTATTATTAGTAGAGACAGAATTTCACCATGTTGGCCATGCTGGTCTCAAACTCCTGACCTCAGGTGATCTGCCTGCCTCAGCCTTCCAAAGTGCTGGGATTACAGGAGTGAGTCACTGCGCCCGGCCATTTCTTGTTTTTAATTATGAAAATTTATACATTGAGAAAAATTGAGAGAACAATACAGTGAACAGCCCCTGTGTTTCGCAGTTGTTAACATTTTGCCATTTTGTTTTTGTATGCATATACTTTTATGGCGTATCATAAAAATATATTTATACAAGATATTACTATATAATAGTCGTATTTAGTAGTAGTCTTTTTAGTTCAACTAGAAGATACCATATACACTTCCCCTTCCCATAACATTTGCCTTTCGAGAACCCAGGCTAGTGATCTTTTGGAATGTCTTATATTCTAGATTTATCTGTTCCTTGCCACTCAGTCCCCTGTAGTTTCCATAAACTGGAAGTTAGACGAGTGGTTCCATTAGACTCATGTTGAACAGTTTTGGCAAGCATACTTCATAGGCAATGCTATATCTTTCATATTATGTCACATCTAGGGGCATAAGAAGTCATACTGTTCCAAAGGTCACTTGCTGAGGGTGGCACAGTGCCCAGCGGGGGATTTTCGTAGGCTCTCTAGGTGGTCAAACTCAAAAGGCTTGAGTGGGTCACACTTGGCCGTCATAGGTAGTCAGGCCAGGAAACACAGCAGGGCAGTGTTGGGTGTTTCTCTTCATCGCGTCTTCACGGCAGTTCACTCAGCGGTATAGCTTGGGTACCAGGAAAGGAGGCACAGTGTGCAGTAGTCACCCTGGGCTAGAAGTCTCATGTTCCACATAGGAACTGTATTACTTTGGATGTGTATTACAAAGAAATACACTACTTTGAAAGAAATTCTTCCTTTATAACATGCAGTCACTCCATGCAGAAGCATTGTATTTATTCCATTCATATACCCACAGTCTTCTTTCAGTAACATGTTTTTTCTCCCTTTAGTTTCGACACATTTATTGTTAAGATTATTCCTAGATATCTTGTGTTTTTGTTCCTAGTATAAACAGAATGTTGCTGATAGTCCTGTAATTTTTCCCCTCTTATGTTGGTTTATTGTGCTAGGTATAAAGAAAAAATCGGTAAAATCTGCAAAAGATGGCACATCTCCAGAAGAAGAAACTGAAGTAGAAAGACAAAAGGTAAAAGGCGGTTATTGTTACATGCTCGGGGGATAATTCATAGGCGCAATTTAAATGAAGTTGTACATGTCGCTAATTTTCAAAAACAACTTATTTTAGCAGTGACATTTATAACTAAATTGTGAGAGACTTAATTAAATATTTTAGCAGCATAGTTTCTAAATACAGTGTTTTTTTAATCAAACATAATTTCTCCAACTCGTACAAAGTTAAAATTTACCTCAAACTCAAGGGTATTTATTTTCCTTTATAAATTAAGAGGAAATTATCTCACTTTTAAAAACGTTTACTATACCTGAGACAGAAAATACCCTTAAAACCTCAAAGTAATATTGCCATAAGTTTTAATTCAAACTGAGTCTGTCCTGTAATAGAGTTTGTGGTTATGGTTTGCCAAATGCAAATTTCTGATTTTTGTATTGTGAATACATATATTGAACGTACAAAATTACATTCTTTCTTGGAAATGCAGTGAACCTATGCTTCAGTGACCCGCTATGTCCAGAGTTACATGTAATTTTGGCACAGAGTCATATGTGCTTTTGCTGAGGCAGGAATTGAAGGCAGCAGTGCTCCTAGGGCTGATGTTCACATGTCACTGCCAGAAGTGTGCCTGACTGGCCACCTAAACTCTGCATCTTACTGTGTCTTCTATTCTCTATTCATTGCATGTACAGCAGTACTCATAAAGTTATCTAAACAGCAACAAAGAAAATCAATTTTTGTGGAAAATGTCTCTGAAAAGCCAGCTACAAGTGCCAGTGATGAAAGGAAATTAAGGTAGTCTAAAGTGGTAACATAGGAAGATCCACAAAGGTTGAGACCATACTCTGTATTTTTACTAGTGTATATGGTTATTTACTTGATTTTTGAGGGTTCCTGTTTAATCCCATGGTTGGTAGAAAATACCCATTTCGTGTAAAAAGACATTTACTAGATTTCAGAAGCAGATACTAAGATCCTACCTTCATAGAACTGTATCAGTGTTGAAATAGTAAAGGCCAAAAAAAGCAAACAGCAACAAAAAAAAAACCTACTTGTTATAAAGTTACACATTTAGAAAGTATGATTTGCATCACAAAATAACCTTTGCTAGATTTAGTGTCATTGCACAAGAAGAACAAAGTGAAAATGAGAACTTTTTATTTGAGGGTACTTGGGGACTCTTGTTCCTGCAGCATACTAATGAGTCACACTAAGTGAAATGGGGCCTGGTTTTTAACTACAAGGTTTTATCTCTCCTGTCAGTAATGTTGCTTCCAGAGATTCTGCCTTACTGCTATATAAAGATCTCTTTGTTTTGGTAATCCACAGTCAGTTTACAGATGACAGGTGGTACCCCAGAGTTTTAGTGATTGAGCCTTCCGTTCTAGAAGGGATATCTTGTGCCCTATACTCCTTTTAGGGGGTAAAAAAAGCACTGTTGTACATTTGAACTTTTTTTTGCTCTTCACAGGCTGAAATGGCTTTGCTTATGATGGATGAGGATGAGGACAGTAAGAAACACTTCAATTACAACAAGATTGTGGAGCACCAGAATCTGAGCAAAAAGAAGAAGAAGCAGCTCATGAAAAAGAAGGAATTAATAGAGGATGACTTTGAGGTAACCATGGACACCAGGCAGTAGTCTCTTAAAGCTGGAATTGAATCTAAAGTCAGCTCTGCAGATAGAAATTGAGCATAGTCAAAGTTACCCTTGAAAATGTCTTAGGGGCCAGGTGCAATGTCTCAACGCCTATAATGCCAACACTTTTGGAGGCTGAGGCATGAGGATCACTTGAGTCCAGGAGTTCGAGACTAGCCTGGGCAACATAGTGGGCCCCTGATCTCTATGAAAAATTTTAAAAATTAGCTGGCCAGGCATGGTGGCTCACTCCTGTAATCCCAGCACTTTGGGAGGCCAAGGTGGGCGGATCACAAGGTCAGGAGATCAAGACCATCCTGGCTAAAACGGTAAAACCCTGTCTCTACTAAAAATACAAAAAATTAGCCAGGCATGGTGGCGGGCACCTGTAGACCCAGCTACTTGGGAGGCTGAGGCAGGAGAATGGCGTGAACCCAGGAGGCGGAGCTTGTAGTGAGCAGAGATTGCGCCACTGCACTCCAGCCCAGGCGACAGAGCGAGACTCTGTCTCAAAAAAAATAATAAATAAATTAGCCAGGTATAGTGATGCACACCTATAGTCAGTCCCAGCTACTAAGAAGGCTGAGGTGGGAGGATTGCTTGAGCCCAGGAGGTCGAGCCTGCAGTGAGCCATGATCGTGCCACTGCACTCCAGCCTGGGCGACAGAACAAGACCCTGTCTCCAAAAAAAAGAAAATATCTTCGGAAAGACTGATGGTAGAGCCAAAGCTACTGTCTTTTAGACCAGCACAGCCAGTTCATCCCAGGATAGATGAAATCATTGTTTCTTTGGTTGAGCACCAGGTGCAATAGTTGACTTGTATTTTGGTAGCCATGTTGTACCAAAAATGTGTAGTTTTTAATGTTAGAATCACATGTAGTGAACCTCAGACCAGCAAAGGTATGCTTTAATAACAGGTTCATGTCATAACGGGTCCCACTCTCACTGTATGCAGTGGCCAGCGCAGTAAGCCATGTTTTCTCCGTTGCTGTGTTTTTTGTTTCCATTACTCCTGCCTCTTTTTGTTGAGTACATATTCCTAATGGCTGCAGAGTCCCCTAAGCATGAGTTTGAGCCCTCTACCGAAAATCTACAAATAGCTATTAGAAACTGCTTAATGACTTCCAACCATTAATGTGGAAGAACTGGCCCTGAATAAGATGGGGGAAATTTGGGAAATTTTGAATTTGTTCAAACAATGGAGGGTAGAATACAGATGGCTTCTAAGTCCTTACAGAAGGATTTGGGGGCTACTCTGTAGCTTCTGTTATTCGAGTCAGTTTCACATGTGCTCCCATTCCAGTGAGGTTTTTATTGAGTTAGTTTCCTTATGAAAAGCAAAGAATGATTTGTAGTCATTCTGTCTTCATATATTAATAATCATACATATAAATATTTTTGTGGGTTTTTTCCTTGTTCTGGGTATTGAGTCTCTTGTCGTCATGATAACTAAGTAGAGCTACAATCCATCTCCAAGTGGACTTGTGTTTCCTGTGTTTCCCTTTCTTGCTGGTTACCCATCTGCCTGGCAACCCTCAAAGGCTGGCTGGAGTTAAGGGTATACTCTTAAACGTGGAACCACAAATTTTTATAGAAGGAAGATAAATTTGGGGATTGTGTCTGACCAGACCTTGATCTTGGATGGATTCTTTGCCATAGTGGTCTTTAAATCTTTTGATCTATGGATCACCTTCAATAGTTCCTTATTTTTGGCACCAAGATTAAAATTTTTAAAAATGTACTAAGAGTTTAGGGCCTCCAGCAAATGTTCTGCTTGGCTTATTTATGCTGGTGAGAAATTGATTTTGTGCTGTAAGCATGGGAAAGCCCTGCCTCACAAACCACTCCTCCAGTTATTTTGTCTAAGTGATCATTGTAGTTACCAGCCATCATATATATATATATGGCCCGCTGTAATTCCCTTTGAAATACATTGTCCTTGCATGATAAGAACAGGGTGCCCCACAAGTTGTGGTCCACAGGTAGGCCATAAAGATCTATGGAAAAACAGTTTGCTAATGAATCAGTACAAACGCTCAGGTTTGTGTTTTATATAATCAACTCACCAACTTTCTAAATTTGGCCCCATTTCTGGCCTTTTGCTTTAGTAATTTTGTTTAATTAATTTATTAATTATTTATTTTTTTGGATTTGCAGGTAAATGTTAGCGATGCACGGTTTCAGGCAATGTACACTTCCCACTTGTTCAATTTGGACCCCTCAGATCCCAATTTCAAGAAAACGAAAGCTATGGAAAAAATCCTTGAGGAGAAAGCCCGGCAAAGAGAACAGAAAGAACAAGAACTTACACAGGCAATAAAGAAAAAAGAGAGTGAGATTGAAAAAGAATCACAAAGGAAGTCCATTGATCCTGCTTTGTCAATGTTGATTAAATCTATAAAAACCAAAACAGAACAGTTTCAAGCAAGAAAAAAGCAAAAAGTCAAATAACTGGATGTTACTTATTTTTGAATTGAATACATCTTTTCCTAAAATGTACAGAAATAGTAGGAGGAATATTTATTGGGAACAAAGCTATCTTTCAAGAATATGAATAAAATCTTTTTCTGAACATGATAAAATTTTTCTCCATAAATAATTATACTTAATTGTGGATGACTGACAAATTTGTATTGTATATTCCTACAGATTAGTCATAATTAAATTACCTGAATTATAGGGTTTATAAAATTTTTATATTTTATGATGTTCAATTCTAACTAGTGGAAAGTTACTCTAGCTTTTTAAAAGGCTGTTTACAATTCTCTGTAAAAATAGAGCAATATCTACTCTTAAGTTTATGTAAACATTAGGGATAATTTGAAAAAACATATTTAATACATTAATTTCTCTGGAAGCAGGAGGCATGTTTAAATAACTATTAAAATAATTTATTTTTCTAGCCATAAAGGATGGAAGTCAAGAACTTTTTGTTTAGTCATGTTAAGTATAGTCTGTTTATGAAATTAACTTGTAAATAAAAGTGTAAAATATTTTCATTATTTTGTATTGCACTGATTTATTCCATTTTATGCCTCTCAAAGTACTCTCTGGAAAAAATATCTGAAAACTGATTTTAACTTTTAAGAGGACAACTCCATTTAAAGGCAGTTCTAGAGTTGCATTGCCCATAATTGCATTTGAAATATTCATGAGCTCTCCAGTGGTTTTTTCTTTTGGTAGCAACAGAAAATTCTTCTGTCTGTCCTTCAGATTTTTGGAATACTTCAGAAGGGTGGATATGCTGCTGTAACCCTTAAGGATATCTTAATTCTTCTTAAAACACATCTAGGGCCTTAACACTCTTGGATCTCATCTGGTCTAAATATTATAAACAACTGACCACCTGTGACAGTCAGATTAGATATGCTGTATAAATAAATGTAAATAAAACCAACATTGTAACTTGGAGCAAATTATAAATATGGTAACTTCTGAAAGACAACAGGAATTTGACAAGGTTTGTGGTTAATAGTAAACTTGACATTTGGGGTATTAAAAATCAAAGCTACTGACTAGGCAAGGTGGCTCACACCTGTAATCCCAGCGCTTCGGGAGGCTGAGGCAGGAGAATTGCTTGAGGCCAGGAGTTTGAGACCAACCTGGGCAATATAATAAGACTATAGGCTGGGCATAGTAGCCTATGCCTGTAATCCCCTTTGGGAGGCCAAGGCAGGCACGTCACTTGAGGTCAGGGGTTCAAGACCAGCCTGGCCAACATGGTGAGACCCCGTCTCTACTGAAAGTACAAAAAATTAGCCAGGCATGGTAGCCCATGCCTGTAGTCCCAGGTACTCAGGAGGCTGAAGCAGGAGGATCGCTTGAACTTGGGAGGCAGAGGTTGCAGTGAGGTGAAATTGCGCCTCTGCACTCCCGCCTGGGCTGTTCCAGGCTCAAAATACATGGACCCTGTCTCAAAATACATGTGTGCGCGTATAAAAAGGCAAGTGTGGTGGTGCATACTTGTGGTCCTTGCTACTCAGGAGGCTGAGATGGGAAGATCATTTGAGCCAAGGATTTGAGTTTACAGTAAGCTGTGATTGCACCACTGCATTCCAGCCTAGGTGACAGAGCAAGCAAGACCCTGTCTCTATTTAAAAACAAAAAGTCACCAATGTAGCGTATATTTTAAAGACTAAAATTATGGAAAACTCAGAGTGATATCAAAATAATAAGGGAGTATAAATAGTCTCTATAAAGGGAAGAAAAAAGGGACATTTAAATTATTTATTATAACAGAAAAATGCACAGTATCCAAACGGAACTGATTTTAACATAAAGCACTGACATTGTTGGATTATTCAGCCAAATAAAACATGATTTCTTTAGATACATCTGTGAACTCCCCACATTATCACTGAAAAGTCGTAAATCTTAATATGTTTATGAGTATGGTCTATAAAATTTATGTTTCATATTTCATTCTCTGCAGGGGAAAAGTTTTGTTCTCTTTAAACTGTTTAATTATAATGTAGTAATGGCACAAAAATCAAAATCAGAGTCTGATTTTAAGGTTTCTGTGAACCTGAGCCATTGGGTTTGGTTTTTCTGGTTTTGAGCCCGTAAGTCACTGCATTTAATTGTAAAATCTCATTTTACTAGTCAAGCACATAATTATAACAAAAAAATTGTTATTAAATTGTTATGACTTAAATTACATAAGTCATACAAAGCCCTGGCTCCTTTTCTCAAAGAGTTGATATTTTTTAGGTAGGAAAAAAAATGAGAACAGCATTATCAGGTGTTAAATATTCTACACTAATAACTTTAGGGTTCTCAAATTATTGCCGGTAGTGAAATTTAGGATTAAAAAGTGGCCACCGTCATAATTCAGCAAATAAGTGAGGGTAGTTTTGATGGGTCTTAAGGTCACATTTAGACATTTAGTTGGAGTTTTTATTGCCGTTGAGACCATGGAGAGTAGGTCAACCCTGTAGCGTCCAGAAAAAGTCGTAACTTAATACTGGTGAAGCTCTGATTTGCTTCACCAGCAGCAAATCTTGGAGATCAGTTTAATACACAATATTGTCACTACATATTCTCTGAGAGAGGTACACTAGAGACACGAGCAGGAGAGTGGAAACTGCACTCGTTCCATGTTCGTTACCGAGCAGGCCAATATACTAGATAGGTAACATCTTTGCCTTTTCTGTTTTAGAATCACTTGGTATGTCAAAAACCCCTAGTGGCCAGGCTGCACCTCATACCTATTCAATCTTATATATACCAGTAGTATCCAGATTTTTTTTTTTTTTTTTTTTTGCGACAGAGTTTTACTCTGTTGCCCAGGCTGGAATGCAGTGGTGCAGTCTCGACTCACTGCAACCTCCGCCTCCCAGGTTCGAGGAATTCTGCCTTAGTCTCCTGCCCAGTAGCTGGGATTATAGGCAAGCGCCACCATACCCAGCTAATTTTCATATTTTTAGTGGAGACAGGGTTTCACCATGTTGGCCAGGCTGGTCTCAAACTCCTGACCTCAAGTGATCCACCCACCTTGGCCTCCCAAAGTGCTGGAATTACAGGCGTGAACCACTGCACCCGGCCCAGATGTCATTATTTTTTAAAGCTACCTGGATAATTCCAGTGTTCAGCAAAGATGGAGAACCACTTTTTTACTTTGCTTAGAGGCAAAGAAGGCAGGCCCAAAAAATTTACTTTTGGGTCCACCAGATTGGAGACAAATTAACTTAATATCAGCTATATCTGTTAGCTCTTACTGCTTAACAAACCACCCAAAATCTAGTGACCTAAAATGGCATTTATTCCTTCTTATGAATCTATAGTTTGGCTGGGCAGTTAAGATCCAGCTCAGCTGGGGCTTGATGACTCTGCATGAGGACTCCGATGGTTCTAGGGTGGCTAGAGGATCTCTCATCTAGTAGGCTAGTCCAGGCCTTACATGTGACAGAGGGTTCCCAGCTATAAGAGAGAATAAGTCCCAATGCACAAACATTTTCAAGCCTTCAACAGTGTCACATTTGCTATTGTCCCACTGGCAAAGAAAATCACATGGCCAAACCCCAAACCAACAAGTGGCAAAGTTACAATGCAGAAGGGTATACGTACAAGGAGGCATGAACAAATTGTTGGTTATTGTTAAAACCATCAACACATTACTTAGGTTTCCTCTTCTGTAGAAAAAGTATTTACCATCTATTGGTCTAAATAACACAAAGTTGTTTGCAGTTTTTGGCAATTACAAAACTGTAATTAATGTATAGGTTGTTGTGTAAAACATAGGTTTTCCACCTAGGTCATATGGTAAGTTTATATTTAGCTTTGTAGTAAACTGCAAATTTACTTACCAAAGTGGTTGAACCATTTTACATTCCTATATATGAGTTCCAGTTGCTTCACATCTTCACCAGCACTTGATATTGTCAGTTTTTGTTGATGCTCATTTTGGGCTAGTGTGTTTTTGTTTTATTTGCCATTCTAATAAGTGTTTACCTGTATCTCATTGTGGTTTTAATTTGCATTTTGCTAATGACTAATGATGTTGAGCATCTTTTCATGTGCATATTTACCAACCGTATATCATCTTTGGTAAAGTGTCTGTTCGTGTCTTCTGCTCCCTTATTTTAAAATTGAGTTGTTATTGTTTTCAGAATTGTTTATATATATTATATACAAGTCCTTTGTCATGTATGTGATTCGCTAATATTTTATCCTTTTCTATGGCCTGTGTCTTTTCATTCTTTTAACAGTGTCATTCACAGAGCAAAAATGTTTTATGTTTATGAAGTCCAATTTGTCAGTTTTTTCTTTTAAGGACTGCCTTGGTGTCATATCTAAGAACTTTCTTACAAAACCAAGGTTACAAAAACTTTTTCCTATATTTTCTTCTAAAAATCTTAGAATTTTATGTTTTACATTTAGATCCATTTTACATTTTAAAGTAATTTCTGTATAAGGTGTTAGAGTTTGGTTGACACTCTTTTTTTGCATATAACTGTTAATTTATTTCAGCATTGCTTATTGAAAAGTTTGTTCTTTCTCCACTGAATTGCCTGAGTACTTTTATCAAAAATGAATTGGTCAGTCACCAAAAGTCAACCACATAAAATCCATAACCCAAATAGTCCTATAGTCATTAAATTAATTTAGTTAATTAAACTCCCAAAAAAGAGATTAATTAAATTAATTAAACTCCCAAAAAAGAGATTACCAAGTCCAAATGACTTCACTGGGGAATTTTAACCACTATTTGAGAGTAATTAACGCAAATTTCAAGCAGTCTCTTTGAGAAAATGAAGAATCAACACCTCTCAACTTACTTTATGAGACCAGTATATCCTTGACAGCAAAACAAGACAGTGTAAATACAGAAAACTACAGGATGATGTTCACTGTTAGTATATGTGATTGATTCCAGAGAGTCAATCTGTCTCATAAACTTAGACATACAAATTCTCAAAAAAGTATTAGCAAATCAAATACAACAATGTATGCAAAGAAATATACACCAAGACAAAGTAAGATTTATTCCAGGTATGCAAAGCTGGCTCAGCATTCAAAAATCAATCAATGTATGCCATATCAACAGACTTAAGTGAAAAACATATGATCATATCAATTGATGAGAAAGGTATTTGACAAAATCTAACATCTATTAATGATGAAAACTTCTCAGGCTGGACACAGTGGCTGAGGTGGGTGGATCACCTGAGGTCAGGAGTTCAAGACCAGCCTGGCCAAAATAGTGAACCCTGTGAGACCAGCCTGGCCAATATGGTGAAACCTTGTCTCTACTAAAATACAAAAATTAGCCAGGCATGGTTGCATGTGCCTGTAATCACAGCTACTCAGGAAGCTGAGGCAGAAGAATCACTTGAACCTGGGAAGTGGAGGTTGCAGTGAGCTGCGGTCATGCCACTGCACTCCAACCTGGGTGACAGAGTGCAACTTCATCTCTAAATCGAGCAATCAATCAATCAATCAATCAATCTCTTCAGCAAGTTAGGAATAGAGAACTGCCTCAACTTGGTGAATAGTATCTACA